AATAGCTGACCTTTCCTGCCTGGAGCAGTTCCTAAGAGACGCTCTGGGCTGCTGGAGATAATACTGCTTTTTATTTACCCAGCAAAAATGTGTTTGTTGTTGCAACAGAGATGAGGATGGTCTTCCTAGGAAAGCAGACTCCTCGTGTCCCCAGGGTGGGAGGACCTTCTGGGAAGCTTATATGACCCACTCCTAGAGACCAGTGTTGTGATGACTGGTGGGATGGGCTGAGCCCCAGCTCCTGGTGCTGGTGAAGGGTTGGTTCCATGGGGCCTTCTCAGTGCTGATGCTGAGCCCCAGGTGGACTTTGGTGCCTTGCTGAGCTGTTGTCACGCAGGGTTTTGCTGAGGATCAGGTGTTTTTATTAGTTGTCTCCTGTTGGACTTAGCCCGTTGCCCCTGGTTGGGCTGATCCATGGTAGGGCACTGGTCTCATCCTTGCGTGGTTAAAGCACTGCTCCGGCACCTCCCTGATGGGGTTGTTCAGGTGGGAACAACCAGACTCTGCCCCTGTCCCTGCCCTGCTTGCTTGCTGTCCCCTGTGGCATCCCTGGTCCCTTGGGTCTGGCCCGGTGCTGGGCTGCGGTACTGCCCCGTGCGGGGGGAGCGCGCCTGCCCTCCCGTATGTCATGGTGCCAGTGCTCCCTCGGGCCAGTGACACCGTCTGTGCTGTGCTTTCCACTTCTAGATCTCAACATGGGCTGGAAAAAATAAAAGGGATGTAGTTAATGCGGCACAGGCGAGTCCCCTGTCAGGCTTGGGGGGGCTGAGGATGTGCAGGGGCCCCAGCGTGCTGCAGGGTGGCTGCCTGCTGGTAGGGACTGCGCTGGATGGAGCGATGTAAAGAGCCTGAGAAGCTGGAGATGCCCCAAGGGCTTGGGAGGGTGGCCAGCCCCTGTGGGAGATGCCCCATGGGCTTGGGGAGCAGTATCGGGGTACAGCCTGTGCAGAGTTACTGTGGGTGGTTTTTTTTCTCTGCACGGTAGCAGGAAGTGGGTGATGTGGGTGACATGGGGTGACATTGCCGCACGGCCCTGGATGGTTTCTCAACAGGTAGCAGGAAATGTTGCGGCTGGGGGCAGGGCCCGGTGCTCAGGGCAGGAGAACAAAAGCAAGCGGGTTTGGAGACATTGCCCCAGCCGGGCGCCCACCGAGTGGGATGGGAAGATGCCAGGCGAGATGCTGAGCCAAGCCGGAGCGGGCAGAAAGGGATTTCTCTCCAGCGAGCCAGGAACACACTGGCATGCCTGTTCTCTGGCCGCTGGCGGGCAGCCGGTCCCTGCTGCCCTATTCCCCCGCAGCCCCCGACAGCCCCGTCCCAGTCCCACAAGTTGGTGGGATGTCCCCGGGGTCACTGTGGTGGGGAGCGGGAGGTTTGCATGTGTCAGAGTTCTGTTTGCTTTACTGGGCTGGACTTGCCTTTATTTGCTTAATGAGCCTGGAGACGCTCGCTGCTGGGAGAGCCGGCCATAGCACCCGCACCCTGCTGAGAGCTGAGCGAGGGTTTAATATCTCCCACCTTCGAGCAGGCTCCAACCTCTCTCCAAACCCTGCTGGGTCCTGCATGGTCGGGACCCCGCTGTGATGGGGGATTCGGACACCCCTGCGGCTCCCAGGGCTGGGCATGGGCTGAAGAGGTTTTGGGGGGGGGTCATCATGGGCTCCCTTCTTGTTCCTGTAGAACCCTGGGTATGCAAACCGCCCTGATGCTGGGGTGGAGGTTTGTAGCCTCCCTGGAGGCACCTGGGGAGCTGATCCGTGCACCCCTCGTCTGCGGCGCTGAGCCAGCGAGGTGACAGTTTTACAGCCCTGGGGCCAGCCCCGCTTCTGGGGGGCCCTGTGTTGTGGGGACTGTCCCCAGCGCTCGATCGGGAGCCGTGACAGTGCGTCCTCCCCCCGCCTGCGTTTCCGGAGGCTTCAGTTGCTCGGGACTGTCTTGAGAAAGTTTCACGCAAACCACAGGGCGTTAGAGCAGCACCGGCAGCTGCCGGCTCGGCACCCTGGCACGGGTTGGGGCTGCTTTTGCCAGGGCAAGGCTTTTGCTACCGGCCCCGGGTTTCCCTCTTGCAAATTTAGTGCTAAATTAGAGCCCTCCCTGCCAGCAAAGCTCATCCCTCCTTGTAAAACCCGGGTGAGCCTCCCAAAGCTGGGTTTTGGGGTATAACAGGGAGCAGATCCCACCCCCACCCCATTTGGGAGCATTGCACTGGGGTAGCTGGTGTCTAATTAGGAAATGAATTAAATTTCCTCTCGAGGCAGCTGCATGAAAAGCAGCTCCAGTCAAACGGGACGTGACGAGGATGCTGCGAGGAGGCTGCTTTGCATCCCCTTTGTATAAAGCCCGAATGCGTGCGCCAGATTTGAGGATCCGTGTGAATTTGCTGGCCTGGGCATCCTCGGAGCCGTTGTGTTTCTCTTTGAGTAACCGGCCATGCTGCTGATGGACTTGTTGCTGCTTGTAGGGCTGTGGGGAGTTTCCTTGGGACTTGGGGCTTCAAAAGCTGTCCTGAAATTGCTGTTGGGGGGCTGGGAACTGGGGAACATGTCCTGGCACACCGTGCAGTTGGGGTTGCTGTGGCCGCTGCTCGTGCTGGGGAGGGGTGGTCCTGCACACTCCTGAAAGTGCCCCAAGTCCTGTTCCAGGGCAGGAATAGGGATGTGATGCTGCTGAACTCCCCATCCCAAGTGGGGCATCTCTGGAGGCAGGAGATGTCCCTCTGCCACCCCCAGGCGCAGAGAGGGGTGGTATGGGATGCCTGTGCTGGGGGCTGAGTCCGGCTTCCCCTGCCGCCCTCCTTACTGGAGGTTGTAATTGCTCCTAATGAGGCTCTGCTGGCTAATCTGTGCCCCAGCGTGGTTGGGAAGGCTGCTGGCATTGGAGGAGAGGATGCAAAAGCTTATAGAAATTAGGGACGTTTCCGTTCTGCCATCTAGCTCCTGGCCCCGCAGCCGTGGGCTTCTCCGCATCCCGGGTGTCGATCCCAAACCCTCTCACCTCAGGTCCCTTCTGGCCAGGGGGCCTTTGGGGCTGGAGGGATGCCCTGGCACAGGGTGCTCGCCCCGTGGACGGGCAGGATACAGCTGCCGGAGGATGGGATGCATTTATATTTTTCTCTTGGAGAGGCAGAACGGTGCCTGCCTGCAGGGTTTCTGCTGGCACGGGGGATTTGGGGAGGGTGAAGGCACCCTGGCACGCTGGGCTGGAGGAGCTGCCAGCTGCTGGCGGGGGATACTGGGGAGGACGGGTCACGGCTCATCTGGGCTGCCCTTGCACCGGGTGCTCCTGCTTTCGCCGGCTGCCTTTGAGGGCTCGGTGCCTTCCTTGCTGCCATGACCTGTCCCCCTGCCCTGAGGCATCTGTCCATCCCGCAGGGCTCCCAACCCCCCCCAAATTCGTGGCCCCAGTGTCTCGGGGAGCCCAAGGCTGCCGGGGCTTTGTTGGTATGGGTGGGAGCGAAGTCATCCCTCCTCCTCCTCACCCGGGAGTGCTGCCAGCACCACTTGCCGGGTGCTCCCTCCGGCTTTGTCCCGAGCTATCGGCGTGGAGCAGCCCTGTGGTGCTGCCAAGGGCACCGGGAGCGTGGGTGCTCACAGAGCCCGAACCCCCCCCCTTCTCAGGGCAGGGACCCCGTGAGGTTCTACCTTCCTCCAGGCTCCGCCAGCTCCTGCTTTTTGGCTTTGTTTCCCTATCCCCACCCTCACTAGGGATTGCTGCCTGGGTGGGGGGGTGCAGTCGCAGCATCCTGAGCACCCCGTGAACCTGCTGTCACCCAGGCACGGGGACCAGGGCAGAGTCCCCTGGCACGGGGTGGGGGGGACTGAGGGGTGGCCGAGGCGAAGCGGAGGTGTCTCAGTCCTCCACCCAGCCAGGGAACCCACTGATGGTCTGCGGAGGGGGGGCGCGGAGGGGGCCCCCACCGGCTCCTTGGGGTGCAGCCCTGGGCTGTCGCAGCGGGCATTGCCTGGTAGAGCCGAGTCCCGCGCTCACCTTCGCTCCCCGGCAGACCCAGCTGGGTGCGTGCGTGCGCCGCCTTCCCCGGGGCGTTGGCAAGCGGTGCCGGGGTGGCTGCCAGCCTTGACCCGAGAAGGAAGGCGTTGTGCAAGAGGGACGGGGTTTTATCGTAGCGTTGGGCTTAGCGATTGCAAGTGCGTCACCCTGGCCGGTGTGGGACCCTGTGCTGTCACCTCGGGGACCAGGCTTTCCTGGCAGGGGGACAAAGGGGATTTCGTGGTGAGAAGGGAGTGTGCTGGACAGGGGGTGACTAGCAGCACTGTGCGGGTATGGTAGGGGAAATTCCTGCGGTGCGTGCCCCCAGTGATGCTATGGGTACCAAAGGAGAACAAACAATCTCAGGAGAAAGAATAAATATTAAACCCCCTGGTGAGGAATATTTCAGGAGCTCAAGCGTGGCTCGGTTGCTGGAAGAGCCCTACCAAAGCCCAGGAGCTGGTGGTCAAGGCAGTATCAAACCATTTTTTATATATATATATAAATATGCAGCAGTGGTGTTTGGGCGCTGGGGTCGGAGCAGTTCTGACAGCGCTGCGTGCAGGCAGCTGGTTCACATCACCTGGTTTCTCTGATGCTTCCTGGGCATCCCGCTGGGTAGGTGAAGGCAGTTCCTCTTTGCCAAACTCCTGGGGATGCTCCTGTTTCTCCAGCTGCTGCAGTGTGAGGAATTACACTGTTAATGGGCTCATGGGGGGCTGTGGACATCCCAGTTGGGTTCCCCAGCTCTGGATGCTGGTGGATCTGCAGGTCAGGATGAAACCAAGCACAGACAAGCTGGGTCTTGCCTCCTGGCGAGGTGAATGTCCCACGTCACGCTGCCCTGGTCCAGCTGGTTTCTCTGTTTTGCAATCGTGGAGGGTCGTGCCAGGGCATTGGGCTGTGCTTTCAGAAGCAGAGCTGCTGCATCCAGATCCCAGCTGCCTGCCCAAGCCCCGTGTGCCCCTTCCCTGCCGGCAGCGGCTGCGGGGTGCTTTGGGGTGGGGGGGCCCATGGGTGGGGTTGCCGTGGGGGGGGGGCAGAACATTACAGGG